GTACAGCCGTTCGAACGGATACCGTAAGGAACGTTTTCGCGTGAGCGGTCACATATTTGCCGATTCATTTTTGTTGTTGAATCGGCAGAGATCTTCTTTTAACGACGCTTTTAGGGGCGAGAAATTGAAATTGGCGACGTACTAACTTCTCCTGAGTTTACGTGACGCGTGATCGGTGAAAAAAATTCTCCGTGATGCGTGATTTAACAGAAAAATTCAGCGTGGTACGTGATTGGTACCCCACCTTTGTCACCCTCTATCTTGAACTTCCAAGGGAACTAATCAATTGCTCGAGAACAGTAAATCCAGTGACAAGATCTTGTTTATTTGTTTGTTGGTCATTACAACTTGAAAGATAACAGGGTAAACATTTTGCTGCAGTGAGGTTAAGGGAAACCACAACTGTTTGAGATAGCCATTGTGGTGGACAGACTTTTTTGCGGGGGAAAATCTTTGAACTCGTCAACTCATAATAGCTGTGCTTAGTTGTGCAGTGGAATCTAACAAAGTTTAATTAACTTCTGTAGTTAGAGCCACAGCTTCTATATGCTAGCATCATTTATCAGTAAGCTCTTATCTCTTGATAATTTTCTGAAAAGAGAATGTGGGAACAGAGTCTGCATGAGAGAGATTTATGACTTCTGAATGTGTGGAGGAGCTGGAAGATTTCTAGTTTATGTTCTTAAATGCGAAATGTCATACAAAATTGTTCCATCATTTTTAAAGGTTCAGGTGCAATAATTTATTATGATAGTCACAATAATTATTGTTAAATTTTAAAACGGTTTTAAAACGGTTTGTTGTTCGAAAGCTGGATAACGCTATCCACCAGATAAATCACTATCCAGCGGATAGCGTGGTATGTTTTGGTTACACTTATCCACCGGATAGCGATTTATCCGGTAGATAGTCTTATCCACCTTTCGGACAACCCGGGCCTTGGGCCCGTTTCTCCAAAGCACGCCTTGGAAACTTTTCGGGCCCGCAAAGCCATTTTTAAATAATCTGTACCAAAACACCGGGAGGTGTATACGCCTGAAACTCCTTGTATGAAGACAACCTCTGTTCATATTAAGAATATGTGAATAAAACATCTCTGTAATCATAAGATTTGAGATTTTTCAGTGGCTTTTCGCGTGCCAAAACTTTTCGGGATCTTTCAGAAACGGGCCCCTGGCCTTTATTGACTAGGCAACAATAAGTTGCTAATAAAAACAAATAAAAAGAGGAAGTGCAATGTAGATAAAATATGACATTAGTGAAATGTGATCCACATTCTGATGAAGGAAATTTACAACGAGATTGTGCAGAAAAGGATAAGGTGGCAAAGCCAGCAGTTCAGGAGGGGAAGCACAGGACACCTTAGCCTGACTGGAAGTTCATAGTTGAGACAGGATCAGAAAACAACGAGATTGTCAGTACTAAGCAGGGATTGGCCCGCGAGCAAGCTCTCACGGCACCAGCGGCAAATCAAGTGAAATGAGTTGTTGAACAAAGCGAGCAGGCAAGAGGGCCAGACACGAGTACATGAGAGCCTACCTGGAAGTCCTTGTTTTTTGAATACGAACGCTGCATTTTGACTGGTGAAAATGACGGATCCTATTCATAATGACAAAAACCAGCGTTACACTGGTGACGATCAAACACAAACATTGCGTCCGGGAATCCAAATGTGGGATCTGTTCTCGAAACTTTTTGAAAACATTTCATCAAAACAAATAATCTAGTCGATCTAAAACACAAACAAAAGGAAACTAAAAGCCTGCTGTGTTTGTTGACGTTTTGTTCAATTTCGATTGGCTAATAATTTCACATGTTTTAAAGCTAGCGACGTCCGACAATGCCGTCCGACAAGCTTCCATTTCGTGCCGGCTCGCAGCGCATGAGAGTTAAGTGGGAACTGACACAGAATAGGGGTGGGACAGAGCATGCTGTGATCACGTGTTGACACGACTGGCACACGAGTTTCAAGCATGAAAGAGAATCAAACGCTTATTTACAGTTAGACATTAACCCCGGCCTATTGCATATTAATTGTCGTGAGATGCCATTAATGGCCTTGATGTCGAGCAGAAAGTCCAAGGTGGGACAGAGCATGCTGGGATCACATGATGACATATGAAGTGCAAAGAGCAACAGGAGATTTAGCATACAAGTTTCCACCCAGAGAAATAATTATTTACAGTTATATTAAACCACAGCCTATTGCATACTAATTTGTCATGATATGACAACACTAGCGCCAAGCCATTTTAAAAACTGCTTCGACCTCTTGCTATAAATTGTTGGATGGTTGTTGAGTCTGGTCAAATCACTAGGTGATTTTTTTTTTGCTAAGAAACGCCGCATAAAAAATAGCGTCCTCTAATAAGCATTTCGCGTCGACGTCTTTAGCTGAGACGCCGCTGTAATTTTCTTACACCCGCCACCTGATTAAGCTTGTTTTTTGGCTGTGTGCGGCACAAGTTGACAAAAACATTCACAAGGAAAAGTTTGGGTCGTTACGAAAAGTTTGCTTAAAAAATGCCTTTATTGCAGAAGAAGGTAAGACTGTTTCCGACTTTGCTTTTGTTCAAATCGGTTTCAGTGTTGATCACATTTCAAAGTACTGTAATTTAGACTACGAACTCGAGGTTTCTGTTATTAGTTCGGTCGAGGAGATGAATGAGTTTGTTTGAGCGGTGGAACTTTCTTTTGAGAAAAAACTCAGGAGTGGAAAGCTAAGGTCGTCTTAATTGCTGTAATCTTATTCTGTTCAGGAAATGTTTTCACCTTATTTTATTTGTTCAGTTCAAGTCTAATTCAGTCTGAGAGCGGTTGAAGTTTCGCACGAATAATAACGGTTGGCGTGCGTTCCCTACTCCACTGTGCTTAATAGGTAGTTATTGCCGGCGTGGCAGTAGTGGAGGATACTTATCAAGCCGCAAAGCAGCAAGGGAAATATTCTTCACACCAAACCAGTAATTATAGACGATCTCAAAGCTATAATTTTACTTTACGACTGAACGATCGAAAACTTCTCTAAATGGGAAGTATATATTCGAACGTGCGTCCTAGAATATCGTTTATCGAAAGTCTTGTTTACGTAAACAAAAAGATCCGATAATGGTTAAACCCAGCGGGTCTCGAGTTTACTTTGTCGATACTCTGGATTTGACCGTAGACCGCCTTACGGTGTCGTGACTTCTTCCCGGTTCTTTGTGCCTCTTAATATATTTCATAGGAATATTGAGGCTTAATTGTTAAGAATATTTTAAGAACAAGCCCGACGCTAAGATTTTGAAAAGAATATAATTTTGTGTTTTGAAAACTGATTTGCAAATACAATACAATTAGATGTTTTTAACTAAACTGCATAAAATTACTCATTTCTCTGAACGACAAAACTAGCCAAAGAGCAACAAAAACAGCCCTAGCTGTAAGCCGTTGACAATAACATTTCTTCCAGAAGTTATGTGTGTTATATCAGGCTTCAAAGCCTACAGGCCGGCTCCAAATTACTTAAACATCATCCAGACACCAAAACATTCAAAAACAGAAATGTCATACACTATAATCTGAGAATATCCACAAGAATAATTCTAGCCTAAAATCGGCAGAAAAATATAGTATGTGAAATATTTATATATATGCTTTTACAAATTAGCTTTGACGCTTAAACATTACCAGTAAACGTGAAAACGTTTAGCATGAAATTTCAAGGCAATTTACAGAAACTGTCACCGTTACAAAACGTATCAACAAATCGTAGTTTGGGAAAATAATGGACTTGATTTTAGAAAGAAACATTGACAATAACTGTTCCAAAATAACTTCCACACCATCAAAGTATTATCAAGGTAAATTTAAGAACATCTTATGAACGTTTTCAGCCTCAAATCGCAAAAAAATATAAGAACGTTCAGCCTCATCTCCAAAATAAGACGTTCTTTAAAAAAAAAGAGTGTAGTGGGGAAGAAGCGTTGAGTGACGACCCACTCGTCTTCTGCCCCTCCTCCCCAGTCCTCCTGCTTCTTCTTCGACCTCTTTAAGTTTGATGTAATGACAGAAGGTCCTCTCGTCAGGAGTTAAATGCTTATTTATTTGAGATCTCATGTCTTCTCTTACATTCGCTTTAGTGCGTGTCATTCCGAAGTAGGTGTTTAATGATCACGGCAACAGTTCTCCTTCTTTTGGCTGGATTCATGCTGCTATCAAACAGAAAACTTGACGGTAAGAGGATCAGTGATCAATGAAATTTCCGGCGATTTCTAAGCTATCAATCCCAGGGGTAAAACCATGTTCCCTTCATCCTTTGAAAATTTCATTTCTTCTCCCTTGTTACCTATTGAAAAATTCCATTGTTCCCTAAAATTGTTTGTCAAAGTTCCCTTTAACTGCGGAGATATCCCTATAACTAAATCCCAAAATATCCCTTGTTCCCTTGAAATAAATAATTATGCTTCCTTGTTCCCCAGAACCCCTGGGAGACCCCGTCAGTTACATATTTCAGTCCATTTTTTATCTATCAGTGAATTTTCCAGACCTGTACTCAGGACAACTGTCAGGAATCAATTAAAAAAAAAAATCATTTCTCAGCTGACAGTTGAAATTTTGACCAATTTTGGTCCGCTATTAGTAAAACCCGATCCATATCATGAACTCGGGACTAAAGAAAACAAATCTTGTTGTGAGGCCTCTGGCACCTACTAGGCATGTCGCCACGCTAACTCCAATACTGAACAACGTAGATGTTAAGGGAAAACAGCTCAAACAACGTATTTATACCTCAAAATCATTCTTTCAAATAATTTGACTTGGCTTATTGCCTTGAAAATGGGATGGAGGCTTTACAGAGAGGAAGACGTATTTAAAAAAGCCAAAGTCAGAAGTTCTAAAGGGGCGCGGGAAGAACTCATTGGAGTGGGGAAGGGCATTGACATATACGTACAGTTTTAATTTAATGATATCTATTCTGTCAGTCACATTTACCGTCGTTAGCACGGTCGTAACGTAACGGTAACGTAACGTAACGGTTCTGCATTCAATAAGGGATTTTAGGATTTTTCATATTGTGTTTAAGTATTTATTCCTGATTTTGACGTAAATGCTCTGATATTTTACCAACGAGTATATACCATTGTCCGTCAATCCCAGGTGGTTTTTTATCCATATCTTTTCCTCATTTAACTTTCTATCTCAGGTAGGTTAGACAATCATTCGTTATCAAACACGACTACCACACAAAATGTTCCTGAAAAGTTCATGGCCAGAGCTCGACTTCACCTCATTGTCCAGATTCCAGTGTTGAATATCACAAACGAACCAGGAAACAGGTGGCTTGTGATGAGAAAAAGGGAGTACCTCTATTGCCTCGGACGAAACCTGATAAGTCCACATGTAAGTTTACTTCGGTCTTCCAACATTTTACACTAGAACTTACAAAAGAATAGAAAGTTATAGAATCCTTAGTTTCTAAACACAGAACACTTTATCCTCATCATGATTCGATTTAATAAACTCACAGAGAGTACACACTCTTTGTCTGGATAATCTGAGTGTTAGCACGCTAGATGCTGAGCCGAGAGATTTCAGGGTTCGAACTTGACATAGGTCAATGCATTCGGTTTCTGGAAGACACTTCTTTCCTCGCTCCAGTAACTAAATGTAAATGACGACTAGTGAGTGGTGACTTCGCGTGGGGGAATCTGATAATAAGCTAGGGTTAATGCGGTGTTGATATAAAAAATCACTAAAGAGATTCCGAATTTTTGGTGTAACGGGTTTCGTAGCTATACAGCAAAGACCCACATATAAGAATCTAGACTTTCGAGGTCAGGCTAAACAGATTCTTTTATTTTAGCGTGGTTTTTCACAATTCAGGCTGATTAGGTTCTTAATAGGTTCTTATTTTTCAGATTGCATATATTGCACTGTAGCTTTATGGAAAACAAATTTCTAGTGAAAAGATATAATAAAAAAAACATACTACACACAATTACTTTTTGTCAGAAGTTTCTCACACAATTAAAATCCAGAATTTATAAACCATTAAAATTGATTTAAATATAAATAATGTGGGAGGAAAAACACAAATAAACTACAAGTTCATCCCTACAAGCCTGTTTCGTGGTTGCCCACTCATCAGGGGATGAGTGGGCAACCAC